ACACTTACCTACATGCAGGCAATACACGCACACACATAAAATAAAAATAATAAATAAAATTTAAATAAATAAATAAATATATAAAATCTTTAAGAAAACATTTAAGGGGTTCAGAAGTTTAGAGCACTGGCTGCTCTTGAAGAGGACACACATTTAATCCCTAGCACCCAATGGCAGCTAACAGCTGTCTATAACTCCAGTTCCAGGAGCTCTGACGCACTCTGACCTCCTTGGGCACTGCACACAGGTGTGCTTAAATACATGCAGGCAATACACTCATACACATAACAAATAATGAGAAGTTAAATATACATATTAAATATATATATGAATAAGAGCCAGGTGTGGTAGCACACGCCTTTAATCCAAGCACTCTGGGAAGCAGGGCAGATGGATCTCTGTGAGATAGAGGCCAGCCAGGTCTAGTTACAGAACTAATAAAAATGTTTGAAATGAGAACTAAAGGAGACAGAAGTTGATAATTATACACATAGATCAGGCCCTGGGTTCAATTCCACCAAAACACTAAGGCATCTTTTCCATTTAAGAAATGCTACAATTAGCTAGGCACATGCCTTTAATCCCAGCACTGGGGAGGCAGAGGCAGGCAGATCTCTTTTAGTTCCATAGTGAATCCAGGCCAGTTGCAGCTACAGGGAGACCCTGTCTCAAAAAAGACCAGAAAAAAAAAGGTACTATTGCGGGCTGGAGAGATGGCTCAGTGGTTAAGAACACTGGCTGCTCTTGCAGAGGACCCTGGATGGGTTCCCAGTACCCACATGGCAGCTAATAATGATCAGTAACTCCAGTTCCAGGGATCTGACACCTTCTGGCCTCCATGGGCACTGCATGACATGAGTTCACTTACATACATGTAGGCAAAAGAGTCATAAACATACAAAAATAAAAATGAAAAGAAAATTTAGTGCTACTACTAGGGTAAAGCTTAGTTGTTATAGAGCACTTTCCCAGCATGTACAGTTTCTGAGTGTGTACAGCAGAGAGAGTCATCTCTACAATTCATGGGAAATTACAAAGAACCTGAATAACCAAAGCAATCTAGAAAGGGTAGGAATCCAGAGAAATCATAAACTCACATATTCACAGTCAACTGATCATATATATATATGAATGAATGAGGGAATCCTACCATGTGGCCCAGAGTGTCCTGAAATTTGTGATCCTTTTGAGTTGGCCTCTTAGGTGCTGGGAATACAGAAGTGTTCACCACACCTGGCCAGCAAAATATTTTCCAACATGCACCAAGATGTACTGAGATGCTTTAGGGAGACCCTGTCTCAAAAAGACCAAAAAAGCAACAAAAATAGAGGCTGAAAATGCAGCTCAGTTGGAAGAGTTCCTACCCAGGATGCATTGAAGCTCTGGGTTTCATCCCTAGCACTGCATAAACCTGGAATGGTATCATAAGCTTGTAATCCCAGCACTGGGGAGGATCAGCAGCAAAAGGATCAGAAGTTCAAAGTCATCCCTGGCTACAAAATGAGTTCAAGGCCACCATGATAGATGAAACTGTCTATAAATATCTGAGAACATGTATGTAATGTACTAAAAATCATTCAATGCTGGTCACTCATCATTACTACTTTCTGATCCCCACTTCGACATGTCCACAAATACTGCAAAAGTCAACAGGGGCAACTTTTTGCAACCTACTGAACTGACCCTTTTTTGTGTGTCTACTTGCTTGAGACACAGTCTAACTATGTAGCCAAGGTTGATCTGGAATTTCCATGTAGCCCAGGCTGATCTGAACTTATGATACTCTTTCTCCACTGCCCTCCTGCCTTCTGGGATTAGAGAAGCGTACACTGAGCCCAGTCTTTACCAACGGCTTTTACTTTTCATACTATTCCCTATCTACTCTTACCTTGCGTTTTCTCTCCAAAGCATGTATTCCTTCTGTGACTAGGCAAAAAAGACTCTCTACCATCCTAATATGAATTACATGGAATAAAATTACATGCACCTAAATGATCCTCTATACCACCAGAAGATGAAAGAGTCCATTCGAAAAAGGAGCCAGGCATGGCAGAGCCTTACCAAGAAGGTAAGGACTGGAGGGAGCAAAGGATAAACACAAAGAAAGGGTAAAGGGTAAAGGGCTAACCAAAGACAGGCCAGGAGAAGGAATTTGCAAATATATTTACAAAGGTCATATACACAAAACATGAAGTTAGCTCTCTATTATTTTTGGGCAGTGGGGAGTGTTTGTTTTTGAGACAAAGCCTATTATAGCTCAGGCTGGCCTGGAATTCACTCTGTACCTCAGGCTGGCCTCAAACCCATGGTGATCTTCCTGTTTTCACCTTCAAAATGCTGAAAAAGAGAAGTAAGTCGCCACACCTGGCTGAAGACTTTCTATTAATTCAATAAACAAACCCTCCAATAAAAGTGAACAAAATTTTAAACTAGGCAAAGAATTTTACCCAAAACGGGACAGAGATACAGCACATGAAAATGTACTCAACATTACTCACCAGAGAAATAAAAATTAAAGCCAAAGGACCAGGAGTATGGTTTTAACTATAAACTTCTTTACATCAAACCTTCAAGTTCTAGGTTTATGCTGCTATAATTTGAAACCAAAACATTTTAAATTTAATGAAAATAAATGGAAAAATGATTCTTACAGAAACAAAATGATTCTTACAGAAACTTGCTCTGCATAAAGATTTCCCAAAACAACACATCTATCACATCTATTTGACCAAATGACTTTAAACCTCAAAAATGAGTATGCATGAAAGAAATCTAATTCAATATACTCTTTTTGTTTGTTTTTTTTTGTTTTTCTGTTTGGATAGAGTCTCCCTAGAGCCCCAACTGGCCTGGAACTCACTATGTAGACCAGGCTGGCCTTGATCTCTGAGATCAGCTTGAGCTCTGGAATTAAAGATGGGTGCCATCACACCTGGCAATTTCTTTATCTTATATAATAATATTATCTGCTAATAAGGTTGAAACCTCTGACAATGAGAAAACATAGTCAACACCACGATATTAACTTTCAGATATGGTTTAACACTGCTGTCTGCCCATTAACTGCTTTAAAAGACTCTTCAGGTAACAGTGACTTTCTGTTGATCACTCTGAAATCTAAGCAGCTACAAGAATGTTGAAACAAGGAACTCTTAAGCTGGGCGTGGTGGTGCACGCCTTTAATCCCAGCACTCAGGAGGCAGAGGCAGGTGGATCTCTGGGAGTTCGGGACCAACCTGGTCCCCATTAGCAAATCCAGGCCAGCTGCAGCTACAGGGAGACCTTGTCTCAAAAAGACGAAAACAAACAAATGACCAAAAAAAACTACCAAGGAACTCTTTAGAAGGGGACTGGGGATGTAACTCTGGCAAAATGTTTGAAGGACCGTAGAATCCCCAGTACTGAAAATTTTTCTACAAGGGCCAAAGCATGCTCATTAAATATGTCAGCCAGTTTTCCCCTACATAATTGCGCTCCAGGGCCATCTGGGCTAGAGTTACAGAGTAAGACCTTACGTCAAAAAAAAGTCACCCAAGTTGCCATTTTATGAAGGTCCTCCATACATACCTTGAAAGGTTTGTCTCCACTGTGTGTCAGCATGTGCCTCTGTAACCAGCTCTGGCTGGTTGATGGAGTGTTGTAAACTTTACAGCCTTTCCATAAGCAAACAAACACCTGTTAAGACAAGAGCCACACAGTGTTTACCACTTACCTCAGCAGAGACTCATTTCTCATAACTTCACATGACTATGCTGAAAACTTCAGTGATTGAGCACGCTCCAAAACATAGTAAATGTATCTAACTAACTGCCAGCAGGAAGCAGTCTTGCTGACTTGTCTTAAGGCTGAGGCCCTTTCTCCCTCAATAATGAACGGGCACACCACTCAGGGACGAAATACATAAAAATACGACAATTTATTTCCAGGAACTAGGACAACAGGTTTCCTTATGTTCTTATAAGGGAATAAACATTTATTAATTTTCAATACTAGGAAGATATACAAACAAAAATGGTCAATAAACATTAATAGATACGCTTTAACTTCAAAGAATGAGTCAAAAATCATGGTTTTTTTTCTCCTCATGAATTCCTATTCTCACCTGCCTATGAACAGTCTATATTCTTACACTGTTCTACCCACTAAGTATTTCCAAGGGTTGGAGAGATGGCTCAGCAGTTAAAAGCAGTGACTGCTCTTGCAGAGAATTCCAGTTCAGTTCCTAGCACCCACATGGCAGCTAACAACCATTGTTAAGTTCACATACATGTAGGCAACACACTCATATACACAAAATAAAAATAATAAAAAATTTTTTTGGTCTTTTTGAGACAGGGTCTCCCTGTAGCCCCAGCTGTCCTGGAACTCACTGTGTAGACCAGGCTGGCCTTGAACTCACAGAGATCCGCCTGCCTCTGCCTCCCGAGTGCTGGGACTACAGGCATGTGCCACCACGCCTGGCTAAAAAATATTTTTAAAAAATATTTTATTATTTTTTGCTGGGCATGGTTGCATACACCTTTAATCCCAGCACTCGGGAGGCAGAGGCAGGCAGATCTCTATGAGTTCAAGGCCAGCCTGGTCTACACAGTGAGTTCCAGGACAGCTGGGGCTACAGGGAGACCCTACTTCAAAAAAGACCAAAAACATATATTTATTTTTTTTATTTATTTTATGTGTATGAGTGTATTGCCTGCATGTGTATTAGTGCACCCATGTCTTGCAATGTCCAAGGAGGTAAGAAGAAGGCATCAGATTCCCCTAGAACTGGAGTTACAGATGGTTGTTAGTCACCATGTGGGTGCTAGAAATCGAACCTAGGTCCTCTACAGAGCACTCAGTGCTCTTAACCACTGAGCCATCTCTCCAGATGCACAAAAAAAATGTTTAAAATGTTACTTTTGAGGCAGTGAGATGGCTCAATGGGTTAAGGTGCTTGCCACCAAACCTAATGACCTGAATTCCAACTCTAGGACCCACTGGTGAAAGGAAATGACTTTCTTAAGTTGTCCTAGCTCCACAAGCACACCCACACATAACACACAAAATAAATGGATAATTTTAATAAAAATATTTTTTAATTAAAATGTT